AAAAAAAAAAAAAAAAAACAGAAGATTATAAATAAAGTATTTTTACTGGACATCAGGTATAATTAAAGCATAAATCTTTCAACCAATACACCTTCATGAACTAAACTACCTAGCTACCAAACTATCCTAACTATTAGAGGGGAAAAAAATCTTTGATGATCATTGTATCTAATTTTTGACAGGGAAAAGAGAGTAGTCTCACAAATGAATGGCTTAAAAAAAAATACCTCAAATGTCAGTTTGTTTTTTTCTTTATCTCCAAAAGGAAAGGGCTGATTTACAACTTCTTTTAAGTATTCCTCAACAAATTCCATTGTCAGGGCAAATTTCCTCTTCATATCATTTCTGGAACAGTCTGTTATAGAATCATACCTGGAAAGACAGGTAGAATATAAAGCAAGTTAAATTGATTGTAATCATTTAAAAAGGGAAAAATATACGTATTTAACCTCCTGGCTTCTTCAGCATAGGTAATTTACTTAATCTTTCTAAACATTGTGTCCTCACCTATAAAACAGGGTTATTGTGAAATCAGTGAATATATGTAAAGCACTTAACTCAGAATCTACTGTAATATTAAGCACTGAACAAGCTGTTACTCCTGGTATTATTATGGTGCCTGTTTATCAGTTTCCAGAATGATGTTTCTATTATCAAGAGTTGTCATTTTACTCTCTAAAAACAATCTTATTTGCATTTGAAAGATTAACAAGCTAAGTTTGAACACAGAAATGCCTTTCCTTTATTTCACTTCAAAATCAAAGACATTAGATTTTGAGTTCATCTACTGAATTTAAAGTCCTCTGGAAATTGTTCCAAACATACTCATGAATTGTGATCTTTGTGGGGATTTCTGTCCAGAGCCTGGCATAGCGAACAGGCACCACGGACTCCTGGGGGTCCCGATCAACATGCATATGGAGCATAAGGCGGCAAAATGATGCTCGGAGGTCAAATGGCAGGCTCTCATCTGACACACACCGCAGGATCAAATCGACAGAGAGCTGTGTTGAAATCTGGTTTATGGCCAAATACTGGCGATCCAAGCACATCCTTGCAAAGAGGTTTAGCTGATACCTTAAAGATATTAAACATACTACATTATTTGTCCTATCTGAATAAGGTTCTTAAACATAACAGTACCAGTCAGTATGTACTTTATGGCACCAGTATTTCCAAACGTATGTGATGCTGGAGTCTAATTCTTTTGCTAGTCAGTTAAGTGATCAAATGACAACACATACATGAAATTGTCCCTATGCCTGTTTAGTTATGATTCTCTTACTTGTTCCAGCAAAATGCATCTGGTGGGGAGGGTCATTAGGCTCTCAGCTCTTGGTGCTCTTGGTGTCCTAGGATTACAAATACACTAAGCCTGAAGGCTATGAGTAGCAGCTCATGTGAATCCATTTTTCCCTGCCTTCCCCAGTCAGCTATGGGCTCTAATATCTACACTTTAAATTTAGATCCATCCAGTTCTCAAATGTGATCAATCCAGGTTGTATCAGTACACGTGGAGTCATCAGCCTCTGAGATTAAGAATTAGCCTTTGGCTTTGTTGCGACAGCTGCAGAAACCAGAGGACTCGAAGCCTTCTCTGCCTTTCTCAGATTCCTACCACTGGGGCTCACTTTGGCCTAACGGCTTCTACCTTGGATTTCTATCCCTTAAACTCAAAAACACCAGCTGGGTTCTTGCTCCCAATATTCTGACCACCAGGAACTACCATCAGAACTTGTGCAGCTCTACGCAGCTGCTGAACTTTCCTAACTATAGACACCACATTCTCCTAAGCCCTTGACCTCCACATCTTCATAAGCACACTATACCTGCCTACTGGCTGGCTCTGCCTGAGGCCATCTCTGGGGCGGGATCAGCTTTCCCAGCCCACTTCATCTCCCTCCCTCTCTCTCAACTCCATCCCCTACGTCCCAACATGTCTCTCGTCTGCCCTGAAGCCCATCAAAGTAGGAAAAAGACCTCCGCTGCACAACTCCAAATTAGTGGAAAATCAGAAAAACCAAGTGCTATGTGTGGAAAACACAGATGTTAACATTCATTTTGGATATTTTAAATAATACTCAGTATTTCTGCTATGCTAGTTCTGACTTTTTAAATTTCCTGTTCATAAATACCTGCCTTTTTGAGGTTTCAGCGAATCACCTCACCTTGAGTACATGAGCTGGAGAATTAGAACACAATTCTCTCTTCAATACTTCACCTGTAATAGGTAAGAACTTCTAAATCAGCTTTGGTCCCTTCTTTGGCTTCTTGAGCCAGGTGCCTGATGGCTTTGCCGTGAGGTTCCTTGTTGCTATCAATCCAGTAGAGCCAGACCTCTTCATCATCAACGTCGTCAGAAAGGATGGCACTCTCCATGGGGTTGTCTACTTGCATTGAGACCAGCCTTAAATTGAATTACGCATACAAAATCTATTAAGAAGCTCACTTACAAACATTATGAGGAATTCCAACACTGACAGATAATGAACCGAAAAAGATTCTCCCATCATCTGGGCTTACTTAGTTTGAATGAGAATGTCTGCATTGCCAGGGCTCAACATAAATTTACAGATGAGTTCCTGCGTTACAGGTATAGCGGTGGTATTAGACACACACAGATCTGATAAATAATCCAAAAACCTGGCAAGAGAAAAAAAAATTACAGTGAACAGTAAGAAAAAACACTCCATAAAATGATCAGAGTAAAAATGTACTTGGGGATAAAATGAAAGTAACTTTTTAAGTTTGTTCTTCATATTATTTCCATGCAACACTTTTTCTAATGTGTTGCTTATCTACCACATCGTTAGAAACAAATCAAATACCCAATTATTTGTATTTAGTACAATCTTGTTTCAAGAAAGGATTAGGTTTGCTTCCGCTTATTTAGTGATATTCATCCCACAGTACGTGGCTTATTATTACGTTTAGAAAATCTGCCTACAAGTGAGAGACTCTAGAACTGAAAATCAAAACAAAAACAGATCAAAGCTAATAATCCGAGTAAACCAGGAATGAAAGTGAGTATGGCCGAGTTGAGTCAGAGACCCATTTCTACATTATAACATTTATTTGCTGCATTATTTGCTATAAAATTATTAATTATTAATAGAATTTTAATTATTATTTGCTGAAAAATTAAAGAAATTTCATCAGTCTGGTTGATTTCTCCGTATTCATCTCTCCCACACAAGAGAGCACGGCGCAAAAGAAAGAGAATTTGACATGAAGTCAGAACTCCTGATTCACCTCACATTCTGTTCCTGACCAGCGGGCTATTCTCGGGCAAAGTTGCTCTCTAGCCACTACTTTGTCATTTCAACTCTAAAATGTGGATAATAATAAATAACCAATGTACTTCATATGAGAAAGCATGAGACAGTGGATAAAAACATATTTTGAAAAACTGCAAAGTACTATAAAAACATGTTCTTGTGAAAACCAATTATATTTAAATATGTCTATAAAGGGTTTTGATCTATGAGGTAATAACTCTTTCTGATACATGATTATTATAGCAATAAGCCCAACTGAGTTTTGTCCATGAAAGTTAATAGTATGAAAGAATTCTAATTTTAAAAAGTTCTAAAAATCAAGCAAAAAGCCATAATCCCCCGAGTAAAGAACACTGCCTGAACCACTTTCGACCTTGGCTCACGATTTCTCCTCAGCAAACTGACAAATGTTTCTATTTCTTTTGCTGTGATATGTTTCTCTAGTAGTTTTCTGTTGTTGTGCAACAAAGCTGTGATGGTATCTTCTGCCAAAATATCATAGCCGATCTGGGACTGCATGACACAGAAATTCTTAGCAATATATTCCTGCAAAAAGAAAGGCTGTCAGAATGTGCTGCCAAACAGCTGAGAAACAGAAGGTTCTATTAGGATCGGCAATGCTGATTAATTTATTCATAACGGAAAACTCACTAAAAATTACTGTCAAAAAAGAGCAAGTGAACAATTCTTCAATATAGGGCTTTTGAGGAAGGAAAGGAAAACACATTAGCATATACCTAATTTACATTATAACAACAAGTTACATACCTCCAAACACTTTATACTATGGGGACTTGCACTCTTGTAAGGGGGAAAAACAAAATAAACCTTGTCAAAATAATTGTTTATGCCATGCTGATTGAGGATTTCACCAGTGTAACAAAGGCCCTTCTTCTAACACAAAAAATCGTAAGAGAAGATCGTGGCATAATCATAGATGTGAAAGTGACTCTCATTTTGTTCAGGAAACATGGGATCTATACTGTTACATGAAGATCCCAGGTGAACTTGGGTGATGTCTTTTTTGTACATATACCACCATGAGCTCTTAGATCTCCTCTTTAAAAGAATAAATTTCATACCATTTTTTGTCTTTAAAAAGCTATCCAAGAAGATAATATGATTAATCACTTTATTAATCTAAACCGTTTATCCAGGGTATTTCTTGAAAACCTACTACATTTCAGGCACTGTTTGAGAGACTAAACGTACGGCAGTGAACAGGGCAGAGCAGCTCTCAGGGAGCTTATACCCTAGTAAGAAAAAAAGGCAGTAGTGAGCTGATGAATGCGATCATTCTACATGTCAGTGAGTGACATGGAGCAGAGGGGTGGGAAAAGTGGCACCTTAGGTGGGGTAGGGGCTGAAGAAATAGTTAAGCTAGGATGGAAATGATTATCATGATGCAAAGATGGAAATGATAAAAAGTAGGCAGCCAGGGGACAGAAACCATCTAGGCAGTGGGAGTAACAGTGGAAAAGCTCTGTGGCGGTGGAACCACATTTTAATGGGTATTCTAATAGCAAAAGGTGGCCTCTGTGGCTAGAGGGCAATAAATGAGGAGAATGCAAGAAGTAAACATGGAGATAAAGGTCCTTGAAAGCCAGGGTAGAAGAGAAAAATGTTACTGTAAGAGAGGAGAAAGCCACTGGGGAGTTTCGATCATGCATTATTTAACCTACCCCTTATTCTTCACACCAACTCTCCTATATCCCAAGCTGCTATTGCTCAGTTCCCACAGTCTGTGTACAAGCAAGACATCTCACACAAGCACAGAACGTAAGCACTGCCCCTTCGACAACCAAAAGTTGTCACTTCAATTTTTTAGGGATTCTCCTTGCAGATGTACCTGCATTTCTAAAATGGGAGGATTTATTGATTAGACAATGTTTTGGGGTTAGGTAAAATTTACTGGAACCTATCTATTCCTTGAAAATGATATTGGCCGTACAAACCTAATTTTATTTGAGGCAGCAATTTTGTGCCTTCTCAAAATGATGACTTTATTTTGGGTAGCCAGTTAAGTAATGTCTTCTGTTAGTGTATTCATTTTAAAGGTATGTATTGATTTATTACACTTTTTAAAGACTACTGTAATCATACTTCAGTATAAGGCAAACCTCCAAGATGTGTGATGTAGATCAAATTAAATGAGAGTTGATACCAAATTCTATAAATAATAGTAAACAGAGATTCAGTATTAAATACTTGGGTTGGCATCAAATCACAAAAGACTTCCCTATTAGAACTCTATAAAACATAGGTGAGGATAAACAAAAAACAAGGTAATTATACAAAAAATAGAATGCATTCCCATGTACATTTTTAAATCATGTTCTTAAAACATCAGAAAGCTGCTTCACACTTCATGCAAAGCATTCGTAATTCAACAGAAATGAGAAAAATATTTTCAACCAGCACTGAGAGTGAATTGAGCATGCACAAGAATGTGAGGGAAGATAACATCTGATCCTCTGAATGCTGGGTGGGATTCTGTATTCTTTTGTCAGTTCAACAGTCTACATCTTGGGGAGACATTCCAAGAGAGAGAAAAGATGGCCTGTCCACAGTCATATGCTCTGAGGAAGCCTGGAAAGCAGGTCCCCGGAAGTGAGAAAACACTTACCTTGGGACATGATGGGCCAAGGTAGGGTGATAAAGGAGAGGAGGAATCCCAGAAGCAGAACGTGTGTGTGTGTGTATGTGTGTTTCCGGTTGTCAGAAGAACTGACTATTTTCCGAGGAGAAACGGCACACAGGGCCCACGAAGCCCTAGCTGAGACCCAGAGGAATGAGCCAGAGCTCCACATGCCTGACCTTGAGGGGCTGAGAAAGGACACCAGTTAGGGTGTGCTACCTGGGCAGCCGGCTAGGGACCCGCAGAGTGAGCACACCCGAGATGGGGACTAAAGCTCAGGGCGGTGCTGTAGGAAGGAGTGGGGAGCCCCCCAGGACCCTTCCAGAGGCTGAGCACTGTCAACGATGGCCCACTCTGGGCTGACGGGACTGAGCGCGCCAGGTAAACTCTGTAGACCTGTTGATTATTCTCAGTGAATTCAGTCTCTCTGACACAGCACTGCTTGGGCATATAGAGCAGCGGCCCGTCTAGCAAAGTATATCTTTCCAGACCCAAGAAGAAGAATAGGCCAGGTGGAGTACACTGAGCAACCTCTAGCCGCACCCCCACCCAAGACCCCACTTCTCACACTGGAGGCTTCTAGCACCCTGGTTCTCTGACTGCTGGAAAATCTGTCACTTAATGTTCTGGAACTTAAGTTTTCTTCCACTAAAGTGAGAATAACTCTACCTACTTTCCCTTGCCATCTTAAAGGAATGCCGTGAAGCTGGGGAAAAGAATTCCAAGGACAGCATTTTCAATTGGAAAGAAAGATGTTTATAACCAGGATTACATTACAAAGTATTTAAGGATTTGTGCATATTGTTCCCCCCTTCACTTTTGCTCCTTGCCATCTTATTTATCTTCTGACTAATCTGTTTCATGTATTCTTTTTTAGTCCTTTTCAAACAGAATGTCAAAGCCAATGTAGTTCAACGCATTTTTCTTAAAGCAAATTCTTTTTATTCTTCTCAGAAACTTTCAAACCACTAAGAGGCAATAGTGTGAGGATTAAGAGCCTGGGTGGGACTACTGGCTCCAGTCTTAAACTTCGCAATCTTTGGCAGCTATTTAACCCCTCTGGGCCTCAGTTCCTCTTAACTCAGTACTAGCTGAGTTAAGTTGTGAGAAGTGCTTAGAACTGAGTCCAGTACAAAGTAGGCACTCAGTAACTACCACTAGCTATTCCCAAATAGACTCCCCTGACATCCAAGGCCCCGTGTGGCTCAGCCCAGCCAGCCTTACCAGCCTCTCTCACACCATCCATCCCCATAGACTAAGCTCATTGGTGAAATTGACTGATTATGGACTCTACTCTCAAAATGGCTAAGAGAAACATGAGGTATCAATTTACCAAATGATAATTAATTTGAAAAAAATACTATTGAACATACCACGAAATATTATGGATTTTTAAGATAAAAATGAGACTTAAAAGAAGTTTCACTTACAGCTGGCAACTCTTAGCTATACCCCTAGATATACCTGGGTTCCCTGTCCTCCACAGTTAGGAATATCTTGGGACAGAAGTGTCCTTTCAGGCATCCACCCTTATTTCTTCATAGATCCTTTTTGCTAAAATGCCTCTTCCCAGACAGTTTATGAAAATGATGCTCCTCCTATGCAAATGCTTCCTGCTCCAAGCACCCTTCCCAGGTTCCCCCAGCCACAGCTGAGCTCCCCTTCTGAATTCCCAACATGCTCCCATCGTCTCTCACGCCTCCTCTTTGCCTCTCCCTTATGTTTCAGATGCACATGTCCCATCTTTTCCATGGGATCATAAACTCTTTGTCATAGACATGACGACGTGGTACCTCACATGGTCCTAGACATGCAAGAAATGTCTCATTCCTCTTCACCTAATGTCCCCAACACGCCTCTTGCTCAGCAGGAGCTAATGCCGTGCACACAGAGGAACTCAGACACCCTCCTTCAAAGACTCTAGTTGCTGTCTGAAAAATGCCTCCAATTCTAATACATACATCAGCTCAAAAATACCTCTGGATCACATCTGTGTGTTGACAATACAAAACATCTCATTACAAAGCAGAATTTCCCGCTCTTGCTTTACATGTTTGGAACAGTAGCCAAAGAACCATACCCTTTCTTTAAATGTTAAGCAGAAGTAAAAATGAAGGTTACCGTCTGACCTGGTTTTTCCGGTAGTCCTGCTGTGAATGTCTCAGCACCCGGTAGCAGAGCCTCAGCATGTACTTGTAGGGGGCATATCTTTGATCCCCCAGATCTTCAAGTCTCAGCATTGAGCCTTCTCCTGCTTTCTCCTTAAAGGGTGCTTTAAGAATCCCAAAAACCTGCCAAGAAAAAAAAAACACCACCTATTCTGATGAGTGGAGGTACATGTTTTGCAATATGTTTTAATTTTTTTTTTACATTTATTTGTAAAACACACTGACTCAAAAAAATACTTTTGTAATATTTGATTAGAATTAATGTAAAGGGAGGCAGATTTAAGATACAGGACCAAAACAGAATAATACTGTTAAAGGGATTCCCTAAATTGAATGACAAAACCATTATTGAAACAAAATGCTTAACTTTCTTTAGTAATTGTAGTTTATTAAAACAAGAAATAGAAAGATACTGGGTTGTACCAAGCTACATGAACATATTCAGCAGATAAACTAAACTATAGTTTGATTTTTATAGGCTTTATAATTACCATTATTTTCTATAATTTTCTAAAGTCAAGATGATATATAGATATTTTTTTACTGTTATCTTTTCATCTGAAACTGACATCAGAACACTGTTTCCAAATATTACCTTTAAACCTCTTTATTAAAAAGTTAATTTATTGTCATTGGTACATAAAGATATAGCCAAATCTATGAATGTATCAGCATTCAAACAAATGAAGAACCATTTGGGAAGCTGGTGGTACCCAATGACCCAGATTCTTTTTGTAAGAAGGGTATAAAATACTTAAAAAGCACTGAGGAATGAAACTCTTTGGGGGAGCAAGACAGCAGGTAGGACCACCTGGAGATGAGCTGGCAGGATGAATAAACTGTGTATGGAAGAACCTGCCTAAACAAGAGCATGAACATTAATACAAGATCATTTTACTCATAAATATGAACTGCATTACCCACATAGAATTATCCATGTAGTTCATGAATTATAAATATAATATGAATTAAAGTTACTTCCATAATTTTATATTCACAAACCCCAAATTTAATATCTACAATACTGAAATAAAAGACTAGACATACATTGGTGTAAATAATATTAATAAATCATTCAAGATCCTAAAAGTCCTTGGAATCAAATGTATTGCACAAAGAATTGCTAAGTCAGAAAGTCATTGCCTCATTATTTGCAACCTTTATTTTTCTTTGAGAAAAATGTTGATTTTATATTTTCAGATGATTGGTTAGGGAGTATTGTCAGTATGTCTACTGTTTTCCTTTCCCAACTCTACAAGAACACATACATTAACATGATTTTTATTTTTTTAAGTATCTTCCTTGAGTCCACATTTCACGCAGAAGGCCATTACTTTACATAGCAATTAATTGAATAAAAAGATGGCTAAAGCTAGGCATGCCCATATGTCCATATTATTAGAAAGTGAATTAATTTACTGATGTGTTATGAACAATCTCAGGAAGACATAGTATAGGAATAGCTCCAGACTTTCAGGGGAAAAAAACTAAATTATATGAAGCACTTGTGAGCTGATAAAAAACGGAAAAAGTAGGAAGTAGATGGAGATGGCAATTTTCAAGTTCTGGAAATACTACCTAGAAAATTATTCCAACACATTTTCTGGAAATAGTTTGACCATGCAGATTTTTTAAAAGGTCTGTGGGAGACCATCTCTAAGATGATCCCAGTGAAGCCCTTCCACCCAGAATTCACACTCTTCTGCAATCCTGTCTCCTTGACTGTGGACTGGAGTAACTGACTCCTTTCTAACTAACACAGTATAACTAATGGGATACTAGTTCTAGGTTTAGGTTATAAAAGGACTGTGGCTTCCATCTGGATACCCTCCCTTGTTCTCTCTTGGACCCCTCACTTTAAGGAAAGCAAACTGCTGAGCTGTGAGGACCGTCCTGTGGAGAGGCCCACGAGAGTGAATCTTCTCCCATAAAAGCCTTGAGATGACTACAGCCCCAGCCAACACCTTGAAAGTAGCCTTGTGAAAGATCCTGAGCTAGAACTGCCCAGCTAAACCACTCCCAGACTCCTAATCCACAGAAACTGTGAGACAAGTATCTGTTGTTTTCAGTCACTTTGGGTGAATTTGTTACACAGCAACAGATAACTATGACAAGGACTTTCTTGATACTACCATTCAAAAAAATAAAATATGCAAATGTATCCACCTGGGCCAATATGTTCTGTTCCCTCATTAATTTCTGACGTTCTCGGTTTGGCTTGGTGATAACCACATCCAGAACTTCCTGTCCATTATTAAGTACATCGGCAACAAAGAAGATGAGATCTTCCAATAATTTGGTCACAAACCTATACGAAAAGGAAAGGAAATTTTACTCCACAGTGTGCTCAATTTGGGGAAATATTTTTTTAATGAATGCTAAGAACTGAAACACTGGAAAACTGAGAGTGCGTCATAAAAAAATCTTTAATCACAAAATATCTAATGCAGCTCATGTCTAACTAGATCTTTACAAAGGACATCCCTTCTCCAGTTCCTCCAGCCCTTACTCCTGCCTCCAGTTCTAATCAACTATCTGCAGACTATTAGGAAGTAAGCTCTGTGCACCCCTACAAGAGATGAGTTGATAGGCTAATACCATCAGATGCTTGTCTATGACTGACCAGCAAAGAAGGGTATTTCTGTTAAGGAAGAGCAGTTAAACTTCTAAATTCCTAAATTCAAACCCTTTTTTTTCTTAACTATTGACTCAGACTACATTCCCCAATCCTTCACATCTCAGCATCTCCAATGCACAGAATAGGAAACACTTAAATCATCTGTCAATAGAGACCAGAGGAAGCAATCAGATGCCCTAAATTGTTCTGAAAGCATTAACTGGCCTACAGAAGTTATAGTATCCTAAAAACATACACTAACGTTCACTTTTAACTCTACATTTTGGTTATCCTTTTAACTACTTGAACTTCAAGTGGCATTTAGTACCTGAAATGCCTCAAAAACTCTCCCTTAGCCTCCTTCTCCCTCCCTTGGCCTGGTTTTATTTTCTATGTGAATAGTTTTCTTTACTTTTGAAAAACCTTTGTCCAACAAATATATATACATATATTTATCCATATACGTTCGCAAAATCATTCATGCTACTAGCATGGTGAATCAAACTCCCATCATAAGAAAACTACAGTTTAAGAGATTCATCAATTCCACAGTAGCGTGGAATGTGTTCATTTAGGAAACCCCTTGATCCTATCTCCAGATTTACCTCCTGAAAGAGAATGTCCTTTCACAGAGCCAAGTGGACCTACCCATCACCCAGAACTGGGCCACCCACACCCACAGTTCAGTATACTTCCATATATAAAATGAGTGAATCCTGTCAGACGCATTTTTGAAATGTGCCTTTATGTAGACATGGCCACGGTCTGTGCTGTTCACCACCATGCTATCATGGCCTGGGAGTGCTGCAAGGCCCACGGCCTGGTACACACCACAAGTTCAGTAATAACGAATGAGTTAAACCTCTGAACAATAAAGACTTAAAGGGAGCCCTTTTCTGTACCCTCAGAGGTAGACCTTGGTGCAGAAATTCTGGTTTACAGTTGTCTGAGTCACTTCTCCAGCTCTGAATAGCAATGAACCCCTTCCCCACTCCCTACTCTCCCACCCCCAACAGTTCCCTAACACTGTGTTTTGTCAGTGCAGTTATGCAGAATAAAATCAGAAAATGCCACTGAAAAATGTCTGAGGTTGAGGCGCTTGAAGCTTCACACAGGAGCTCTGCCTCCAGAGCCCATCCCTGGGAGGAGTAAAGGGGAAGCTTTATTCATAAGAGAGAGGATTCAAACAGGCATTTTAAGCTAGATCTGCAATATTCTAACACCTTCCCTTTGCCCTTGCATCATTCTCCCTGGTTTTGAGAAAAGAATATCTAATAATAACTTCGTGCTCCAGAGAGGAAAAAAGTCAGAGTTGTGAGGTACTTTCAGAAAGAATTTCATACTGAATTCTAAAATGGAGAAAATAATATAAATGCATTGAACTCTGCCAATCAGTTCTATAGGACTGACAGGCAGCCGTGAAGGAGTTTTGATGAGAGGTGGCTTTTCTGAAATTACTAAATTAATATCAATAATTACAACTTCATATTTCTCAGGCAAGATATGATCTTTGCTCTGATGTTTTCACTCTGAAACAGTGGGAGGGAAAATGCATGATCCCTGGTCAGTCCTGGCCCAGAACCTTCCTTAGAATCATCGTAACAGGTCAAGATTCTCTCCGGCAGTTAAGTGAAGAGCCACCTGCTTAAGGTTACAAGCAGCCAGGGTGGAGGGTGCATAATCTAAATCTCCCTTTGTACTTTTCTTCAAGGAACACCCTACTGCTTAGCAAGGGAGACTTTTTAAGTGAGGTTGAGTACATTTCTGTGCATATGTGACAGCAACAGAGACAAAAGCATTCATCAAAAGAAGCTTTAATAGATTAAAAAAAAAAAACAGGCAAATAAGAAAGTGCTATCAGCACACGGGGTCCTATCACCTGTCATAATTTAGCTCTGATACTTAATTATCTGTAGCCCAGAAAGAGCCACGCAGTTGTTTCAGCCTCTGGCTCTTATTCATTTCCGCCAACAGGGCTGGGGTAGGACCGAATACATAATAGCTGTTTTCAAATGCGGATGTGTTGGGGGGAAAAGGTAAGAACAGGGAGGAAGCTGAGAAAGAGCTTTTCCATTTGTTCACACAGTTACGATGTTTTTCTATTGATAGCGTGAGAGGAAGCACGTTGGATTTTTGTTCCTTTGTATTATAAGATGCATATCTAAAGGTTCATAAATGTGTTTAGTTGTGGAATACTTACACCGTGAACCCCATAAAGCCACCACCCAAAGCAGGAAATGGAAGACTGCAGGAGCCTCCCAAACCCCTCCCTGAGGGGAACACCATCCTGGTTTTTGTGACAATTATTTCCTTGCATTTCTTTAGAGCTCTGACAACTGCCTGAGTGCTCCAAGGAAACAGGGGCTAATTTGCTTGTTTTTGATTTTTACAAATAGTGTCACAGTGAATGTATTTGTACCTAGTTCTCACTCAGTCTAAAGGTTATTAGATTTATCCATGTCACTGCATATGGATGTAATTCATTTATTTCCATTGCTATGTTATATAGTCCATTGTGTGAATATAGCAAAATTGTATTCACCTATTCAACTGGTAATGGATATTTGGAAGGTTTTCGGTTTTTGGTATTGTGGGTTACTCAGAATAGGCTGAACATTCTTAAACATGTGTCCTGGTGCACATGTAGGAGCTTCTTTTGGACAGATGTTCAAGAACATTCAGCCTAGGAGCAGAATTGGTGAGTCATGGAGTGCTCACTTCTCTCCCTCCATCCCACAACGTCATCTGTGTGTGTATGTGTGTGTGTGTGTATGTTAAGAATACTTAGAAGATCTGCCCTAAACAAACATTTGAGTGCACAATATAGTATTATTAACTATATGCACAACGTTGTCCAGCACATCTCTAGGACTTACCCATCATGTATAAAGGAAACTTACACCTGTTAACAGCAGCTCCTCCCCTCCCCCTCCGCTCTGGCCCAGGCAATCACCATTCCACTCCATTTCTTTGATTTAGACTATTTTGCAGCATTATTAACCATAGCCAAGATATAGAAATAACCTAGATGTGCATCAGTGGATGAAAGGATACAGAAAACTTGAAATCTACATACAATGGGATATTATGCAACTTTAAAAAAGAAAATCCTGTCACATGTGACAACATAGGGGGACCTGGGAGATATTATGTGAGGTAAAATCAGACAATTACAGAAAGCAGACACTGCATGATTCTCCTTCTATGAGGAGTGACTGGTGCTTTGACTTTGCTAGTTACTATCAAATTATTCTCCAAAGTGCTCACACCCATTATTATCTCACAGGCTGTATATAAGAGTTCCAATGTGAATGCCTGGGAAATTGGCAAATAGTTTTTCCTTGGTGTGTAGCAGATCATGAAGAGGGGACATAAAAGGAATGTTTGCGCTCAGGTGTATTGGAAACATGGACTTTTAAAACCACATATGATTGAACTGGGCAAAACTTGGTGAGCTTTGCCCGATTGGGTTAACCTTTCAATTTTCCTTTATGTAAAAATGGGGATAATGTCCATCTCAGGACTGTTTGAGGGATTAGATAAAATATATTTGTGGTGTCTATATTACCCTTGAGCACAGAGCCGACAAAAAGTAGAGATGAAATAATTGGTAGCTATCAGTATCATTCTTTCTCATTTATTCCCAAAACAAACATTGAAGAATCAAGGATCCAGTTTCTCTAAGGGAATTAAAAGGGCCGAGAGCTACACCTTGAAGATCATTTTCTGGTATTGTATTTTTTTGTGTGGTACCTGAGCAAAGAAAAGTGTCTTGAACAAATAAAAATAGAAAAACATAAATCTTCTTTAAGGACTTTCAGAACTCCAAATATCAAATCAAGTGCAGCAGAAAGTATTGCATATCTTTTATGAAACATTTAAAAGGAAAAATCAGACAGTAACTAAAACAATTATTTTCAAGCCAAGCTAAAATAGAAAAAGTAGATATTCCACCAGATTTTAAAGTCACCATTTTCACTCTCTCATTAGATCTGCTCACTCAGAAGCAGGTACACTGCTATGGAGAACATTCTAAATATTCCCTTAGAGTCATTCATTCACTTGAGATTTACTGCAAGAGTTGACAACTGATTCTTGGTGATTTAAGAGCCATTTAAAAAAAAGGTACTAACCTCCTTTCATTCTGAGTTATTGTGCCATTTTCCAGCTTTTTAACTGTGGTCGCCAGCACTTTATTTGCATCATTGGCAAAGTCTAAGTCTCGGACCTCAGACAGCGGGACAGACACAATGGCAAATGCTTCTTTATCTTCTTTTGTTTGGCAAGTTCCAATCTGCAATGTGTTTTTTTCCATTAATGTTATTGTTTTTTTTTTTAAAGAACTGCAGTAGTTTTCAAGTACTAACACATCTTAGTGGTGTTTAAGAAAAACAGGACAGGAATAGATAACCCAAACCTAGTAATTCTCACATGTATCACCCACTATGAGAAGACACACAGATTTTTCCCTGCCCATGTCCAGCCCTATTCCCAAAGCCCACCTGGAAGCATCTCCCTTTCATATTTGCCCTCTGCTTCAGGTCAACCGAGTAGAGAAAATGTACTCCTGGGACCTTCTCCCCTTTCAAAATATTGCTCCGACCCTTTTGGGATCGGTGCTATATCTGGGAGTCACAGCTCTACTCTAACCACGCCACTTAGTTCAGCTACCTGAGCACCAGGCAAATCAAGTGCTTGATGAAATTAATTACAATAAAATAATCCCTAATACTGGTGAAGACAGATTGTAAGGAACATGTCAGTCACCCCCTAATACTACTGACTAATTTGCCTGGAAATTAAACCATTCTCAGCAACATTTACCTTCAACATAACAGGCCTCTCTTCGTCGGTGTCTATGGGGATGCTGGTACTGGTTACCCATGTATTGGTGCATAAATGCCTCAACCGAACATATGAGTTCCTAAAAGCAAAACAATATTAAAAAAACAGATTGAATAAAATTAGCACACTTACATATTAACATATTAAACAGTTCCATACATAATATAAATACAAATATATTTTAGACTAGTAATTGACTCAGGTGTAGATCAGCCTGGTTTAAAGGAAATAGTTTCAACTATAGACTATTTCAAAGCATGCAATATTATTACCTAGACCAGTGGTTCTCAAAGTGTGTTCCCTCAAGCTGGTTCTCCAGCTGGATCCTGGGAGCTTATTAGAAATGCCAATTCTGAGGCTTTCTCCCAGTCCACTGAATCAGAATCTCTGAGAGTAAGGCCCAAGAATGAGCATTTTAACAGCCTCTTCAGACATTTCTGATGTGAAAACCACTGACTGAGAATCTATCTCCATCACAATCTCTGTCTGATACTATAGTGTCCTTTTTGTAGTTGAATAATCTGCATGCAGAAGTAGATGTGGTCAATCCTCAATATTCATGGATTCCATACTTGTGAATTTTTCCTACTGATTAAAATTTACTCATAACCCCAAAATCAACTCAGGGAACTGTCACAGTCATTCTCAGACATGCACAACGTGGCAAAACATCCACGCCCCGGGCGGCACGCACCCCTGAGGAGGCACAACGGGGCGACGCTCTGCCTTCCTGCTCCGGCTCTCATGCTGTAAGCAAGTATCCTTCTACCAGGCTTTTCACATTTTTGCACTTTTTGTTCATGGGTTCACTGTTTAAAACAGTCCCAAGCACAGGGCTGAAGTGCTGCCTTCCATTCCTAAGAGTTAGGCTGTGACATGCCTTACTGAGAAAACATTCTCATAGGATGAGCTCTCCAGCGTGAGTTATAATGATGATCACTGTGAGTTCCAAGTTAATGAATCACCAACATAAATATTAAGATGTCTTTAAACAGAAACACATAGAAAACAAGGTTACATGTTGATTGATGGATGAAAAGATTATAACCAGGGGCTCACAGGAACCTAACCCTGTATTTCCCCTAGGAACAGTGGCTCAGTATTTGCTATTTCAGAGCAGCAGGAAAAACAAGAATCACCTCCATATGAACTGCATGAAAAGCACCGGGGAAAGGACAGCTAGAACGTCATCCAACCCAAATGTTGTGGGGTATTGAAGTGAACAATTTATTGTCATCATTTCTTTAACACATAAGTGTATGTTTCTATTAAAAGGAAAGCATTGTGGTAAGTTATCCACCTTCAGGTTGCTGAGAGTTCACTAGGAAAGATAAAACCTAAGCAAATCATACAACATGAGGAGGAAAGAATTAGGGCCAATAAGAGAAAACCAAATAAAACTCCAGGGGCCTCAGGGAAAAGATTCATTCAACATGACAGTTCTGCTCATTCATAAAAGTATGCAAAATAGACACTGAGTTTCAAAAACCTAAAATAGCCAAGATCCAATCCTTGTCCAAATAATCAGAAATCCTGAAGTACCTCTAATGTACTGCTTAGAATTTTCCATGAGGAATTACACAGGAGATGTTATTTGGACTCAGCTGTCGTTCCCACTGTATCTTAAGTATCTGGAAGCGGGGCCAAAGGTCACTCATCTCTGTGGCCATTTCACGTATTCTTATCCCCACATTTGTTCAATCTGTGCTTGCTGAGTCAACCTAGACCACTCATTTCTAAAATAGATAACACTTGAGTACAATAATTTGCAATTTGCAAGAATTTTGGAAACAATCTGCACAACCAATGTTACATCAGTCTGTTGTTACTAAGGTCCTGATATAAGGAAGGCACTGTAGCACAGTGGCTAAGAGTACAGACTTTGAGCTCACACACTCAAAGATCAAATTCCACTTCCTGAGTATGACATGGGCCACTGAACTAATCCCTCTATGCCAGTGGTTCCCAAACCTCATGGCCCCTTACAGTCACCTGGAAAGCCTTCACAACCCTATTGCCCAGGTTGCACCACATGCCATTTAAATAAGAATGTCTGAGAGGAGTCAAGCATCAGGACGGCTTAAAGATTGCTACATGGTCCAGTGTACAGCTTTGAGCCTTTGATACATAAAACTCATCAGCAAATTAGCAACATCAGCATTATTTGAGGGCAGAATCTCAGGCCCCACCCTCAACCAAGTGAATCCAAATCTACACTGTCATGATACGACCAGGTGATGCCATACACACTAAAGCTTGAGAAACACTGATGGCAGAGGTAAGGTTTGAGAACCACTGGACTCCTCATTGGAATGTCCCGGGTAAATGATTATTAAGAGGTTAATTCCTGCATCCCACCATGGAAAATCTGATTTCACTGGTCTTGGTGCAGCCAGCACATGGAGAGGTCTCAGTGCTGCCAGGGATTCCAGTTTACAGCCAACTTGAAAAGTCCTCCTCTAAGCCTCCAGCTGCTGATTTGTAAGAGTTGCTGCCAGGATTAAATAAGATATTTATGAAGAACTTGACACAAGGCTTAGCACATAGAAAATGCTCAAGAGTTATAATAGTAGTTACTGTTTAAGAGTGAATTAATGGTAGCTTTATTATAATTAATGACAAATGAATCCATATTAATACAAAATTCTGTTCTTTACCAAGAAGGGCTTCAACAATTCTGAATAGTAATAAACTGACACCTCCATATAAAGCAAAGCACAGGGACCTTGTTGTGTATCTGTATTCTCCACGTCACACTGAAGATGCTTTTATCATTTCCTTAAACAGACTTTCTTGATTAGAGTTCAAGGGCGACTCTGGTTTTGCTGGGTTCAAATCTAAAATGATTACAGTCATAGGTAGGATGGTCGAAGATCCCCATACTCAGCCTGAATCAGGTAAAACGTCCAGAGGAAATCCCTTTACAGGCTGATGCTAGTAGAACAGGGAACAGTGAGAGCTCATATACAGCCAAGCTTGGGCAACACTTCTCACGAGTGAGAATAACCACAAACAGCCTGGGAAGCTCAAGCCAGTGGTCCTCAGCAGTGTCAGTTCAACAACTTTTTACCCTGACAGTGGCCCATACAGACGTCACCGAGTTGGAAAGTGGCATCTCTGCTTCCATACTGTATTTGTCTCCTTTGCTGCCTTAATGTTTCGGTCAAACAGAAAAATATAGAAAAAGGGCTTCTGCTCAGCCTGCAGCCCTGAACATAGGATTGCTGATCATCAAAAGAAATGTAAGATTTCCACAAATAGCTCCTTATCCGAAGCCTGTCTCCTCCAGGAGACAGGACAATATGTTTGAAAATAATGATTGCCCTGTCAAAGAGTTCCAGCAACATGGTGACCAGCCCTGGGTCAGCGAGAGCCAACTAACCAATGACACGGAGTGTCTCAGCTCTCCTGGGACCCTTGCTGGCACCCAGATGTCTGCGGCCATCAATCACTCCCCGGCCTGCTCCCCTTCCTGCTCCCCCTTTCCTAGAATAAAAGAAGCTTGCAATCAACCATGAGCCAAGATGGGGCTTTAGGACATTAGCCCACTATCTTCTCGGTCAGCTGGCTTTCCAGTAAAGTTGCTTTCCTTGCCCAACATCTTACCTCTCAGCACATTGACATGTCATGCAGCAAATGGCATTAAGTTTGGACTCGGTAACACAACATGCGTATTTTGTGTAGGTACTTTCGGCCTACCCACTGCCTCTGCCCCAGGCCAGGTACAGTAATGTCCCATCAAGGACAATTTAGAGCTCTCCCACCAGACCTAATACTGTGGGCAAGACTCCTCTGTGCATCTGGAAGAGGGCATCATAGTGCCATTGTTGGAAGGCAGACAGGTGGAGGCAAAAGAGCTTAATTAAAGTAATCAAATCCGAGCAAAAGAATGTAAGATATTCTCTTACATTAGTTCTGATACTTCATTTCAAACCCCCCCATCATGACTCTACAGCATCTTACTACGCTGATAGACAGTGACTGTAGTGGGGTATGTGGTGAGGACTTGATAATGGGGGGAATCTAGTAACCATAATGTTGTTCATGTAATTGTACATTAATAATACCAAAATAAAAATAATAAATAAAAAACCAGATCAAATCCCCCCATCACTCACTTAGGTCTCCCGATCTCCGAGCTCGTCCTTCAGCACACCTAGTCAACTCAAAGATTTTTTCCATTTTGTGTTTCTGCTGTTTGAAACACTCCTGATGGAGAGGCCTTGATCCTGCAGACCTCCCAGATCTTTTCTCACATGTCCAAATCAAAGAAGCCATTTCTGAACACACATACCTAATAGAATTCTCCACACTCTGTCATTTTTCTCCAATACATTTTCTTTACCTGCTCACATTTTTTTGTTTGTCAATTACCCTCTCCCCATCTGAATTCAAGGGCAGAACAAATTTGTTCACTGCAGTCTTCCCAAAGCCAAAGGCAATGCCTAGAATGTATTTGATGTTCAGTAAAGATCTGTTTACTAAATAACTAAATAACTGAACAAATGGATAAATGAATGAATGAATGAAACCTGGAACTTGACCCAATAAAAATAAATGACAAAAGTATTAATAAAAAATCAATTCTAGATTTTTCATTTTAGTAACCAAAGACCATACAAGTAATAAGCATAAATGATCCTTATAAATTTTTCAGAATTTCTCTGGCCCTGCACATTTTAATTATTTATGAGAATAAAACTATGCTCATCTCAACAAAGAGGCATGATTTTTTACACACTTGTTCTTCACTTATTTTTACTCCCTAGTATCTCAAAAATTGTATTAACACTATTATTTTAATTCCTTACCTACCAGAAAAATCCTTCAAAAAACATTACTGTTTAACCATAACATTTTTTCACCTTGGAACCAGGCAGTCAGCTCTCTGAAGAGTTGTAGCATCCAGTTCAAAAAGGGACGCAATGTCATTTCCATGTGGGACCGACACCAAAGTATACATGATCTTCTCCCCTGCCTGGCGTTTCTTCTTGGAAGTTGGAATATCTCCATCTCTCTGTCAAGGAGGTACAAGTTTATTACTTTCATCGTGTTTTATACTAAACTCTTCACTTAATTCAGAGGTAAGGTTTAAATCTGGCATGTTATTTCTTCATTGGATTATAAGTATGTCTGTTTCACATCATCCAGAAAGAGCAGGTCAGGCCTGATAGTCTTTGAGGTAATTATCATCAACAGTGAGAAGTGACACACTCCTGCAGGACTGGTTTGATCTGGGCAAATTATCTAGGCATTAACAGTCACAGTAGTTATGTTCCTTTCCCTTGTATGCAACCCACTACAGAGTAGTAATTTTAACCTTTCTACTTTTAAACACAGAGAAGAAGGTGTGTGGAATCATCTAGATTTCATAAATTAAAGAGTAAGCATGGCAGTGTTTCAGAGTTTCTGCCTAATTCCCAAAACATAATTGGGGCATTAACCTGGACAGAAGGGGAATCAACAGCAAGATTCCCGTTCACTTCACTGGCTTATTTCATTAGGACAAGAACGGCATACAAAGTACAATAAAATGTATCTTCATAAATAGAAGGCTTGATGCTGTGAAACTCAGTCAGTATTCCCAGTACACCCCTACCATTCAAAGCGAGCAACCATACAACTGGGGATAATGTATTTTCACTTGAACTTCCCCAAGTCCCAACCCCCCATGGAAGAATTTGATACACAAAAAACCAAAATCCAATAAGGCAAATGTAATATAAGCTTGGTAATTAAGTACATAAATATAACGACTTTTAAATATTCATTAAAACAAATGACACTTTAAAATGAGAGAGAATGTCACTGTACTATCACAGAAGTTGAATGAAAGGGGGAGGGATAGAAGGCTCAAAAGGCAAATGATAACAGTCCATATCCCATGACAAGCAATTATTTAATGGCTAGTTTGACAGTAAAATATTACACCTGACCACTCCAAAAAAATTCCCTTCAAGTTCCAGCCCACGATTGTGAATATCACTTCCCTTGCATCAGAAAGCCCTTGCAGTTTCGTTCTGGTGTCCTCTGTAAATGGAGCACAACTGGAAGCACCACTGAACAGTGGGTGGGCAGCGAAAGCGCCTGGGTTCCTAAGAAGCAGCGGGATTGTTATCTGCTAAATCCCACAGAGCCCCGCCGTACCCCCAGCAGCTCTTGGCGTCTCTGACTTCTGTGTCTTCTGCAGAGACCACAATTCAGAGTCAGCTGAAGGCAGAGGCCTGGCAAACTCTTCCCAGGTAGTTTGACCCCCATAACGGTTGTTTCTAATCAGTAAATAAGAACTATGTGTATTGATCAGAAAAGGGCAGACTTGACTTACTATAGCTATGAAGGACGGTGGGAATATAAGCAAGAAGGAAACACAGAAACGGTAAACAAACTGCACTTTTAGATTTACACAAAGCTTCTCATGATACCAAAGCCATTCCCTTGGTCACAGATCTTACACAGGACTTCGGGAGAGAAACAGAGAGATAAGCGCAGTTACCCACGGACAAGGAAGGAGAGGGAAGGGGGGCAGGAAAGGGGATGGAGAGGGAGGCCCAGAGGAGAAAGAGGAGGAGGGGAGTGAAGGGAAGGGGAGAATGGAGAGGTCGTGGGGAAATTCAGGGAGCAAGAGGAAGGGGGAGGGAGCAGCGGGAGGTGGCAGTGAACACCCCACCCCAAGCTCAACCAGCCACCCCTCAAACCAAGCTAACCAAAGCCAGAGGCCTGGCCTGGAGCCCTTAAACACTGAATGAGTCACTCCTCAAAGGCAGGCATGAATTCATGGCTAAGAACCTTCCTGAAGACTTGTGAAAAATGCTCATGGGTCTTGAGAACCACTTTTACAGTGGTTTGCACAGAGGGCCTGCAAGTCTGTGAATTGAAGACAAAAAACAATAAAGGAGCAAAAACACACTCACATCCTAAGAGAAGAAAATCCAAATGTCTCTAAATAACCCAATAGCAGTGGTTTGGAGAGACAAATGAGTTGGGGGAGACGGCTGCCTAGGTAATACACTGGCTTAGGATCACGGAGTCTCAAAATTGGGAATGGTCTTTAGAGATCACATGTGAGATAAAAAGACATTTTCCCAAGTAATATCTGGCAGCATCTAGTGAAGCAAAATTCTATTACCTGGAATGTATTCCTTTAGGTCCTGAATACATGTTTGTTTTCCATCATTTCCTACTGAAATTTAGACAGCCTTTGTGCAGGTTTGTTTTTTTCCTACATTTCAACTCTCGCAGTGAGTTTTTCTAAAGGAAAGAGAAGAAGTTGAAATGGAAAGGTAGGAATGGGGAAGGAGAAGGAAAGGTAAATGGGTGTGGTACTCGAGAGGAAAGACAGGAGCATGCAAGAAAAACACAATACCAGAGGCACCATCCAGGAAGGACATAATTAATAAACCAGTTCTCATGAAAACCAGCTTTTTCTGCTCTGCAAAAGACACTCTCAAGAGAATGAGAAGACAGACACAACTGGGAGAAAGTATTTGCAAAAGATACAGCTAACAAAGGACTTTTATCCAAAATATACTACAAAGAATACTCAAAATTCAACAATAAGAAAACAAATACCCCAAACAAAGAAAGGGCAAAAGACCTGAACAGATACTTTATCAAAGAAGACATCCAGAGGGCAAATAAACCTAAGAAAAGATGTTCAACATCATCTGTCATTAAGGAGTTACAAATTCCCTGAGATGCTATTCACAACAGCGGTATGCCATACACACCTGTTACAATGGCCAAAATCCAAAATACTGACAACACTAAATACTGAGGAGGATGTGGAGCAACAGGAGCTCTTCCTCACTGCTGGTGGGAATGTAAATTAGCACAGCCACTTTGGAAGAAAGTTTGGTGGTGGTTTCACACAAAACATAACATTCTCTGTACCATATGATCCAGCAGTCATGTTCTTTGGTAGTTTTCCAAATGGATGGAAAGTTTCTCCACACAAAACCCACACATATGACTATAGCAACTTTATTTCAAAATTCAGAAGGAACCAAAATGCCCTTCAGTAGGTGAATGGATAAATAAACATGAGACATTCAGACACTGGAATACCATCCAACACTAAAAAGAAATGAGCTATCAAACCATGAAAAGACATGGAGGAAACTTAGATGCATATTGCTAAGTGGAAGAAGCCAATCTGGATGGCTCCACACTGTCCAGTGCAATTCCAAGTGATGACCTTCCAGAAAGGTAGGACCCCAGACACCGTAAAAAGATCAATAGCTGTCAAGGGTTGGAGGGAGGTAAGGAATGAATAGGCAGAGGATTTTAAGGCACTTGAACTATTCTGTTGGTACCCTAATAATGGATACATATGTACGATTTTGTCAAAGCTCATACAACACCAAGAGTGAGTCCTAATGTCAACTATAGACTTTGGGTGGTAATAATGTGTCAGTGTAGGATAATCAGTGTTACAAATTTACTACTCTGGTGGGGGCTGCTGGTAGTGGGGAAGGCCACACTTGTGTGGCTAAAGGGTATATGGGAGTTCTGTACTTTGCACTGAATGTTGTCATGAACCTAAAACTGCTCAAAAAAATACTATTAAAAAAACTGGGAGAAATATATTTATCAATCATAATTTTGATAATCATATGTCTGATTATATCCAGAATATATAAAAAACACATAACTTAATAAGAGAAAATTCAATTAAAAATTGAAAGGATTTGAGTAGACATTTCTCCATAGAAGATACACAACTGACCAATAAGCACATGCAAAAAAGCCACATATCAACTAATTAGTAAAATACACTCAAATGGCTAAAATCAAAGAGAAACAATAATAAGTGTTAAAATGTAGAGAAATCGTAATACTCATATACTGTTGGAGAAACAGAAAATGGCATAGCCATTTAGGAAGAGTTCTGCAGTTCTTCAAAATGTTATACATATGACCAGCAACTCTAACTGTAGTTGTCTATCCAAGAGAAATGAAAATATATGTCCACACAAAAACCCGTCCATCAATGTTCATGGCGGCATTATTTATAATAGCCAAAAAAGTGGAAACAACCCAAATGTCCATCAAATGATGAATGGATAGACAAAACATGGTATATGCACACAACGGAGTATTATTTGACCATAAAAAGGAATGAAGTACAGATACCTGCTACAATATGCATGAACCTTGAAAGCATTTAGTTAAGTGAAAGAAGTCAGACACACAGGCCATACATATATTGTGTGTGTCTACATATGTTCAAAATTGATAGAGACAGTAGATTCACAGCTGCCAGGGCCTAGGCTAGAGAAGGAACGGGAGTGACTGCTAACAGAAATGGGCTTCCTTTTTGGGGCTGATAAAAACGTTCTAAAATTATAGTGTTAGTTTCATGACCCTGAATATACTAAAAACCAGCGGTCTGTACATTTTAAACAAGAGAAGTATGTGACTTACATTTCTCAGTAGAGCTGGGGAGGGAGAGAGGGAGGAAGATAGGAAGGAAAGCGGGCCACAGAGGGAGAAGGACAAGCAAGGGAAGGGGGGGAAGAGGGAAGGGAGAAAAGGAGGAGAGAACAAACTAACAGAAATATGTTGTTTTGTTGATTTCTGCCTTATAGCTCAGTATGAAAATCCAGGTGTTGTACAAAGATGTGGCTGAAATAGCAGCAGTTTTCTCTGGAGACTCTGAAATGTAACGGTGACCCAGGAACCACACTTCCGTAGGACGGCAAAGAGCTGAGGCCAGCAGGCCTCAAGAAGCCCCACACAGTCCTCCTTACAGGGCCCAGGAGAAAACCATGTGCTTCTAGGAACCCCGACTCAATGGTAAAAAAAAAAACTGCTGACCTCTGATACTGAAGATGATCGCGCCTGCAAAGAAGAGGTCAGGGAGAGGAGGGAGAGGAGGTCTAAGAAGAGGAAGTGGTAATTCTCTTTGAAAAGAAAGTTTATTTTAATTATGTCCTCTTAGCATGAAAACTTGGGGAAAAACAGACCAGAATTAGTCACAAAGAAACACCATAAAGTGCTCCCTTCTGGAGTTTGCAA